AATCTATTTCGGTGAATTATAAGCATATTGATTTTCTAGCGATAAGAATGTACGACACTCACTATTTGAGATCGCCCAGTCCGAGATAGACAAATCCGAGATATGCAAATCCGAGGATACGTATTCGGTTAATTATACTACTTTTACGTGAAAAAAGTAAATGAACATCCATAGATTTATACCGTTAAAACATGGTTGAAACAATGTTGAAGTGTGGTTGGAAAAGCAATAAATTATACAATAGCGGAGCTAGTACCAAGCACATATATCTTAATATAATCACGGATGTATGGTTAAAGTATGGTTAAAGTACTGTCGAAGTACTGTTAAAATACATAAGATACACTTATAAAAGCAACAAAATCCCAACTTCTCGCATTCTATTCATTATATTCATGCCACATAGTGGCGCCTTTCGGCTTGTCGGGATCAATATCATAAAAATGGTTGAATGGACCGATACTCAAATACGTATCCTCATCGATGAGCGTAGAAATAGAAATGAAGAATATCATAATTTTGGAAGGAATCGAATCGGATTTTGGAATAGCATCGCAACCCGAATTAATCAAGAACATAATACGAGCTTTAATGGACACCAATGTAAAGAAAAATTTTCGAATCTTGTTCGGGATTACAATGTAAGTATGGCATCGTAAGAAAATTTTTCCAGATTTTTTGCTTACGTCTTAGCCATTATGATCAATAATCCATGTCAAATCAGTCGATGTGCGATTATATGGCAGGTAATCGAAGAGCACGAAGAAGCCGAACGGGTGCACAATATTTCAATGAATTCCGTACACATTTTTGGGAGAGGCCTAAAGACGATTTTGATAGAATCCGTAACATTAATAGCTCTAATCGTAGACAACGTAGAATTGGGGGGAATAATACACCTACACCATCTACTGGAGAAGTTGAACATGTATTAGGTCAAAATGTCACCGAAAAATCGAAGAAGTCGAAGAACATCTGTTGAAGGTCGAAGAAGTCAAAGACAAACAACATTTCCACCTTTATCCCATGATGCAATAAACATTAATACAAACAACCCTGAGCAAAATATTAGCATTCACCCGCCTCCGATTGAAACATTATCTCCTCAACTACCACCTTATGGGGCCACAGATGGAGCACAAAATAATAACAAATCTTCAGAAATGAATCAGAGACATGTCGTTTCTAGCCATGAAGTAGCTGACTCCGGCAATAATTTAACACCTAATTTGCTAAATATATCCTCATCTGAAAACGATAGTGGTATTAGTATGCACGATGAGGAGATAATCAAAAATTTCTACTATGGAACCGATTAATGAGGAAGGATAAAGATTCTCGATTGTATGTTACATCACGAAATGAGTATATATTTAATGACCAGGTCAAAAAAAAATATCAATAAAATTACATTATTTCTGGATTGATAAATTATTTTTTATTGTATTCTTTATCTAATATGCACAAATTGAACGGTCCGATTTTCTATAAGTTTCGCCGGTATTTAGATTCTAATAATAACCTTCATCATCGTCATCTGAAAAACCATAGAATCCCCCATCATCCTTATCATCATCTTCGTTGTTGTCATCAGAGAAATCTCCATCCTCACTCTGTGGGTCAGTGTCCCTATTACAAGAATTTTCATCATCAAAAGGATCCGAATTAAAATATAAAGAACTACAGGGTGCGCTTACCTGTGTCTTGACCTCACCTATCTCATCAACATCAGAGGAATTAAAGATATGAGTCGTATTATTAGGTGAGACTTCAGTATTTGAGACACTTACCGAGGTATTAGATAAAGATTTGTCATCCTCACTTATTCTATCTTCAGAATTAGATGTATGAGACAATTTAGTAGTTGATATATCATCTGTGTTAGAAGGTTCGGTCACTTGCGCGTTACAATTTGTAACGCCGATCATTTCTTGATATTTAACGGAAGAATCATCTACTTTAGAATTTTTAGGAAAACAGTTTATAATATCTTGAATCTGATTGTCAGTTAGACTTGAAATTGCGCTTGCATTACATGTTATTGCTTGGATTTTTTCCATTCCTATTCCCATAAGTAACGTATAGATCTTTTTTGCTCTGAATGTTCTTTGACGCAAATTCACACCACTGATATCTGGGAGAAGCCCTTTTATCTCATTATATACCAATGTCCTTGCTGATTGGCCATCGATTTTATTTA